GTTTGGCTGTAAAACAATTCATTTTCAGTCCTGATGACTTTTGACTTTTGCACTTATGTGCATAACCAACATTTTATCCTTTGATTAAATTTTGAAGTTACCACTCTGAAGAATATAGGCTTTCACATATTTCTTGACTTTCTTATCAGTTATCCAAATTTGTAATCGGTTAGCGCAACAAAGAGCGGGCTCACGAGGAACTAGTTTACAGTGGGCAGCGAATGATAAAGACAGAAGAGAAGGCACATGATTCTACCTCAATGGTTCCATCTCCTGCTTTAGTGATGGCCACCGATAGATGCCAGGACTTCCCCTTCTTTCCAAGCCAGTCGTGCTGCGTTTCCCAAAAACTGGTTGGAATGAACTTCATGGCCCAGTCCACTATGAGCAGCATGTGCAATGGTTTCAGGTTATCAATAATTGTACTCTTGGCCTCGTATTTTAACAGTTTTCACTGTTGGGTGAGAGAGGCGGTCTGGGCTGACATGATTTGTGTGATGGAACTCGTCGTAGGAGAACAAAACGTTGACAATAGATTGTCCTTGGGTAGGATAACATTCACTGAAAATATGAAAAGATTTGGTTGAATTCTTACAGCAGTAGAGCTTTATATTTCTGACCATTTTTTAGGTGATTTTTGGTCATTTTTGAAAAAAAAAAACAAAGACGGGTGGTGAAATCCCCCCAGTTTGACCAAATTTCCTTAAACTTAGACTGAAGTAGTTTTGGGTGGACCCCTTTAAACTGGCAAAGTGTCATTGAAATCGGTGAGATGGCTTGTGCCACCCCCGCCTGGTCCTATCGTGGAAGCATTCTTAAGTTGCTGGCAAACCTTTTTTATTTATTTAGTTAAGGACTCTACCATTCCATTAAGATGCCTAATCCTTTATGACATTCCATCAGTGTCAGTGGAACAGAGAACGTGCTGTCACACCGACACCAAGGATTGTTTTGTCTTATAAACATCTAACTTTCAGAGAGGAGCAATGCATGATAGTGAAAAATACCTGACTGATTTGTTTTCTATAGAATTCCCTTGTAAATGTTCTTTTCATTGTGTGCATTTTTTGTATGACATGAAAAAAAACTGTGTTTTATGTGAATTGCTTACAGTTTGCCATCGTTTTAGGTCGAATGTTTCTTACAGACTTCTTTGCGATGTTTTAAGACAAAGTGCCTATCCTTTTAGATATACTGTAGAAACGATGCAATGTCAACTGTTTTCTAATGCATCCACACTTGAGTCGATATTTTATTCATTCTATATGCAGCTCTGCAGGAAAACATGTTGTACAGAAAGCCTTATTTGCAAGAAGAGAGTCAATACCTACAATACACTTAAAAGACCATAGTGGAAAAAGGAGAAGTTTGTCAATTTTGTTGTTTTTGATAAACCATGAAATCGTGTGTGGCGGAGCAAGGATTAACATTGTGGAAAAGCTATGCGAGCATTTTACTCTGAAAACTGCTTAAATATATCAACCCATTTACATTACTGCCAGTAAAACAATGTGCATGTTTAAATGATAGACCTGGTCAGCTACCAACTACAACCACCACGAAGAGTTCCTTTTTTAGTATTATGATAGGGACGTCACCGTGTGAGATGAGCAGGCTCCTGTCTTGTTCGGGGAGAGTAGTGGGTGAGGTTATGAAATTTCACTTTCTAAACTGGGCGTCAGAGTAGCAGAGGGTGTTCTAGTCTGACTTTCTCGATATTTTAGTAAAGCCTGGTCCCGTATCTGTGTGTTTGTATGTGCATGTGTGTTACTGGCAGGCATCAGTTGTTGTCCTAGTCCACACAGCGAGGACAGTGGCTTTAAAAGAGGAAGAGTACCTAACTCCTCATCCACATTAGCAAAACACAAACAATAATGCAATAACATTATTAGCTGTGTTCCAGTTCCCAATATGTTTTTATAACATGTTCACACGGGGGAGGATCTCTCAATGTGAAATTAACTTTGGTTATTATTTCATACAAGAGATAAACCCAGCATTTGACGACATGGCAATAGAGGAATTACTCTGTACAATAGAAAAAAATTAAATAAAAAATGTGTCTTGAAGAAGGTTAAGAAAAAGCTACAAATTAAACGTCACATTCTTGCTGACAGCACATTTTGTAACAAATACGCACACCGAAGTGACAGACTCTGAGTTGTGTGAAATGAAGTGGGAAAGACTTATTCCATATTTCACCACCGAAACATCATTGCGGAGAAAGCGGCCATCCTTAGGTAGTAGATACAGCAGATAAACTAGAGCTGCTGAAGGCTAACACACCTTACTTGGCAGAACAGCCTCGGACTCTGACCTCCGTTTTTTGATTTGGTAAATAACTTTAAATCGTATATTTACATTTATTTAATTAAAACTACTTCATTAAAAAAAAAAAAATTCATATCAGAGTTCAAATGGGTCAGAAAACGGCAACAGCAAAT